TTGACTCTCCTGCTTAGATCGTTGGTTTTCAAAGCCTTTCTCACCACTTGGGGTTCTTCTGAAACCTTAGCCTTTCAGGTTCCTTCAATTTCTTTTTAGATCTGTTTGAGATCTATGTTTGCTCTGAACTTCTCAGTGTTTTTCTCAAATTTTCTTTTAAAACTCTGCTTTCAAAACCCCTTGTCTTTTCGATTAGGATTTCTGTTAAGTTATTTCAAAATGTTTCTCTGATTCTTTGACATGTTTGGTTATATTTGCTTATATCGTTCTTCTACCTGAGTTTGCATGTTAAAACCCCTAATTTCTTTTAAATGTTTATTAAACGAATGTTTGTTTTCCTGAGTTTTGTCCGATTTGTTTGCTTATTCTCTTTTAAAACTCTCCTATTGTTGAAAATCCCAGGGTTTGGGTATGAGACTGTTCGTTTAAGTGCATGACTCGATTTGAAGTTCTTTATTTCGAAATCTTTTGCTCCCTTTGTGTGATTCTTGTGATTGCTGGGTTTTTATCTTCTCTAAACCTCAAATATGCTCGAAACCCTAATTTTTCTAAAGGGGTTTTCCTCACCTGCTACTGTGAGACCTTCACATGCTTTTGATATTCTATGTTTTCTTCACTTCTTGACCTACTGGACTGCCATGCTTCGAACGTTGCTATCTACTGAATCTTTGTGCTACTGTTGAGTGCTATTTCTTCTTGCCAACAGGACTAGCCTTGCATGTATAATGTTTATGCACCCTATTTATATGATGAGTCTTCTTCTCTAACTAATTTTCAAACTCGTGACTAAGTTTAAACTTTTCCTTTGTGAGATTCTGATTTCACTCGCCTATTAAGGTTAATTGATTTCTTTTCCTATTTTGCCTTACTGATTCCTTTCAAAAATTAGAGTATCTCTGTACCTGGACTCGAATTGCTTACTTGTTATTTTACTACTTCTTTTATGGCAACTTTCAGCCTACTTTTTAATTGAATGCTTTCCTTATTTCGAACCTGTCACTTCCCGTTAAGAAAGTGACCCCTTAATTAAGGGCAATCACTTCTATAATTGATTCTGAATCATGATTGTTTCCATGTTTGTAGCTTATTACCTCTTTCTTACTCGTTTTCAAAAAAAACTATAAATACCCGTTACTTCTTCTCTTTCAAAACACGAACACTTTTAGTTCTGAACTCACACCTACACTCTAACACTCTCTCTTGCTTTACTATTACTTGTGCTACTGCCTGTTTAGCAGGCTAAAAGCCAAGGCTATATTTCGAAGTCCTGCTAGTTTTCTTTACTGCACTTTGCTTCTTTAACTTGTATGTTCTAATTATGTTTTTCAGCACCAACAACAACATGCTTACTTACTGATTTTGCATTCTTGTCTGCCTACTGCTTGTATTTAATTCAGTACCATTATTTAGCATGTTGTAATTTCCTTTCTCCTATTCTGAATCAATGTATTATGAATCCCAAACCTCTACCCCAATGTGATACTTGTGGTTAGTTTGGGGCATGACAGCATTGAATATTGATGAGCATGACCCAAACTTGATCCTCCTAGGATCATAACCTCCATGTTACCCTTATATGTTGTGTGTTCTGGTTGATTTACAAGCATGACATCACTCCCTATTGCTATGCATGCCCAAAATTAACTCATGCCAAAGTATATAAGCCCCCTTAAAATTGGTTCCCAAACCCCTGCCCCTTTGTGTGAAGTTATCAATTCTTTGAAGTGTTAATGGTTGACTCTCATCACCCTTTCCCTCTTATTTATTCCCTCAGTTCTTAGAACTCAGTTTCTGCACCTTTCACTCTCTTTTTGGACTTAAGTTCTGCCCCCCTCATGTGAGCCTTGCCTTGGGACCTATGAGCTCCCTCTGAACTTGGACACATGAGGGCTGGTATTTTCATACTGCACTTGTCCCTATTCTGGTTATGAAACTTGGGTGTGAGCACTGCCCGGGGTCCTATTGAGGCCCTTAGGCAACTCTGACACACTCAAGGCTGAGAAAGGTTTTGGATCAATGGTAGTTTCAGTTGGTTTATCTCATAACTCAGAGAGGAAGTCAAGAATCAGGCTTCCTCTGGTTGTAACTTTTCTTTTTACTTTTTCTGATGTAATTTATTATTCCTGGTTTGTAATAATTTGTAATGAACATTTGGGGCTGGCTAGTGAAAAAAAAGGTTGGGAAATTATGCATGCTCAAAGGTAGAAAATATGCATATATGACTGCATTCTCTACTTGTTCAAATCGCATTTAGAAAACATGCCTATAAGACTGCTCCAATTCTGCATATTCACGTTACATTTAGAAAACATATCTATATGTTTTAAGGCCCAATTGGTTATAACCCAGTAGCATGCTGAAATCAGTAACGCATAGAAATCTTGCCTATAGGGGTTCTTAAACAAATTTGAGTCGTTCCATTCACATTCAATGTTAGATATCATGCCCATGTGGATTAGAGTCAGTAATAGTAGATACCATCATCTGCAGAATTTAGAACTAGTCTAATTTAAATTCGTGTATTCAGAACCTCTGTTTTATAATTCCCTTATTTCCAACAAGGTTTAGCAAGCTTGCTTATAGGATTGCAAGCAGTACGTTTTGAGTTACACTGTTTCACCACCTTCTGAATTAAGTAGATATCATGACTATAGTACCCTGTCTAAACACTTAGGCTAGTCTAGAGTAATAACTGTAAAATTGAATCCGCCTTTGTTAATTGTTACAACCAGCAGGCTGACCTGATTCGGACTTCTTATCTGAGTTATGTAATAAACTAATCTTCCTCAACAATTAACTTCTCTCGTCTTTATGTGCTTTAAATCAGATCTAAAAAGTATGTGCAAGTCATGCTAGTTATGTGCTTTTGTTTTGAGGAAGTATACATGAGTCTTTTGTCTGTTTACATGCTTCCCCTTTATATGCCATATTATCTATTTTTTTATGTCGCCTTAGATTTTTATCCTTTGAAACCAATCAGCCTAATATCCCCTCCCTTAAGAATAGTAGTCCTAAGTGCCTCGGGGACTGATAAGAATGGGACGGGTAATAGCATGCAAGTAATCGAGACCAATCCGCGCTGTAATACCTTAACGGGGTGGGAAGGATAAATATGGATATGATGCCGGTACGCTAATGCCACGTGTAACCCCTCTTTTGAGGAGTGATTACCGGGTATTACATTGATGTGATCCATATTTTTTGTAAACCTAGGACCCCCTTTCTTTATTTCCCCTTCTTTTTTTAAGCATTGTAACTCCTTATTTAAAATCAGCTCTTTTAATTGCTTTTTCAAACTCTGTTTACTTTCAAACTATTGTGTATTGAAATCCCCTCTTATTTGAGCCTTATATGCTTATATGTTAATTGCACCCCAGATTCACAATAACTGTCTGGCCGGAAACCATACTAGTGGATCCTGAGGGGTGCCTAACACCTTCCCCTTGGGTTAATTTCAAGCCCTTACCCAATCTCTGATTACCCAAACAAACTTATAATTGAATCTCTATTGGTATCGTAATGCACCTTAATCATTAGGTGGCGACTCTTCAAATGCAAAAACCCAGTTCCTTAAAGGAACGAGTTGTCCTTCCAAATGTCATAAACCCGATTTCGCGAAAAAAGGGGCGCAAAAAATCTATGAATACATTTGCAGTTGCTCCAGTGGCCATGAGTAACTTTTAAAATTTGGAAATCACCCTGTGTTTATGCAACTTTTCGATGATGCCAAAAGAGGGAAAAGATATTGTGTTTTATATTCTGAATAGTGATGTTTATAACCTAATGAACCTGGTCCTTGATGATGAGTAAAATTTTCTAACTTTGCATTGATGTTGAGCTAAGTTCTGGCAGGGCCTAAGTTTATGAAAAGCACAGAGTTTGTCATCATCAAAAAAGGGGAATTTGTTGGCCCAAGGAAAGGTTAGTTTTGAAGACTGACAAAGAAACTAAGACATAAACTAGGTCCATCCTAGTAGAGCACAAATATGGACAGACTTAAGCATGTAAGATGCACGTGAAGGAGATAAACTTAATCTCCTGATCCTGGTCGAAAAGGTTGCATATTGGATAGGAGAAGGACTCCTTACTCAAAGAGAACACGGTTTAAGAAAGGGAAGGAGTTAGAGGTTGAGATAAACTAGAACTCTTCCACCAAGGAAGAGTAGCATGAGAATTCTAGTTAATCTCTATTTACTAACTCTATAAATATCAGTGTTAATCTCTTTTACATGTAACACACATAAGCAGAAGTTAAACGTGAATTGAGAGCAAAATAGCAAGGAAATTTTGCAAGAAGTTTGTGTGTGATTCAAGTGTGCAAACCTGAAGCTACTTGAACCAGATAGAAGAACTAGTTCCAAGTGTTTGTCTTTTATTCTAGTTCAATTGTAGTAAGTGTTTTCATATTGTACCTTTCAGCTTTATCTAGAAGCAATTGTATTAGGTACTCAGAGTTTTCAAGTTAGAGTTAACTTGAAGTTGTCACAACAGTTGAGGCTATGTGCTACAACGGGATTAGTGTTAGTCCTAGGTTTACAAAAGAGTTTTTGTAAATGCAGTTTTTGGCTCTGTAATTTTAGTGAAGAGTTTGGGAAAATCCTACTGGAAGGTAGGTCGTGGTTTTTTCACTTTTTGAGCCATGTATTTTCCACGTAAAGTACTTATGTTCTTTACTTTCCGCATTTACCATTTCTTCAATAGTAGGTTAAGGAACACGTAGAAGAACCAGGTTCTTCCATAAATAGCTTAAGCAAAAAATTGGTCACCACACAAATCACCACCCCTTCCTCTTGTGTGGTATTAAAGTATAAAACATCAACACGACTTGGACACAAGTAAGACATAGTTCCATACGCATCTGGGTTTTCCTTACTGAATCATTCAGCACGGACATGGGAATGACATTGAAATGTCCCAACTACTTCATAAGCTTATGTTTCATACTGCTAATAATAAATAAATCAAATAAACTTCCTTCGCTAAATATTCTTATTCAGCCTTTTGTTAAGATTATCCAACGTTTTTATCGGTACATATATGAGTCATTACATCTTAGCTCTTGAAATTATATACATATATAAATGATTCATCTAATTAAATACACTGCTATTTTACTTCTTCGAGAGAAGTATGATTTCAGTCTGAAACTACATTAATATATTTCAGCTAAGTGCCATGTCCTTGTTCTCAAAGTTTTCCGTCCACGTGTTCACGTCAGTCATTTACCCCAAGTATATAATTCTTTTTCTTTTTTTGATAAAAACAATGTTAAAGCTACAAAAAAAGAAACGAAACTCAATTGTCCCACGTATATATTTCTGCTTCATAGCTATTAACTTGTCGATCATAAGCAGGTGCTCGTCTGCATTGCCTTATTCAGAGTTCTATGTCAGTTCTCGTAAATAGACTTTTTTGTAAGTAGATGACCTAACACATGATGCCTAGATGTTGATTGCTTTAAGGAGCATATATGCCAAAGAGGAGATCTGTATGTCATTTTGTCGCACAAGAGGTCAAAGATATGAAGCAGAAGTACATCATAATGTTTCATTAACCACTCTTAACACATGCTAGTTGTGAGGGAATTAAAAACTTTTCTGTATATATAAGACGACGGAACCTTGAGTAGTTATAAGTGAGGAATTATCAAATACATAACCAAATGTAATATCAAGAAAAAACCTATTATATAATATAGTAAAATCAAGAAATAAGGCGTACTATCACCAATGTAGAAAATAGCAGGTCATCGAAACGTAAACATAAATACCTACCAGTTAGTGAATGTATCACTCCCCAGTTGGCCAGATCTGAGGTACCTCCCTGCAGCAAATTGTATCTGAAATTTTGTGGAGAGTCAGTTCATTACCCCAAATCAGCTCATGGATACCAACAGTTACCGAAAGAGAAAATATAATACCAACCCCAAAGCATCTCCTCAACTGACCCAGTTTTCCTCTCACTATGCCCTATTAACATAGTCAGCAAGATTGGAATTTGGTAAAATTTTCTTTATAATAGATTAATGAGGTAACAACTAACAACCCCCACCCTCCCAAAAAAAAAACACACGACGGGAAAAAGTAAAAACAATAAACATCATAAAAAGGAGAACAGGTTAAGGGAGGCAAAAAGCAACCCTGAGCCTTAAATTGCCTATGAGGCGAAGAAACTATAATAAAAGTTTCTATGTGAGCTTCACCAGATGGCCAAATAGACTACCCCTTGAACAACAACAAAAACATACCCATTGTGACCTCACAAGTCGGGTTTGGGGAGGGTGAGATGTACGCAGACCTTATCACTACCTTATTCCTACCTTGTGTGAGTTAGAAAGATTGTTTCTGATAAATACTCTGCTCAAGAAAAGCATTTTAAAACAAGTTTGAAAACTTCAAGAGTACAATAGCTAAGATGAAAATATTGAAGGAAAGAAATATATTGATAGCAAAAATAGTAAATACAACCAAAGTAAAAGAAACAACAATAGTAAAAGAATTGAAGAATAAGATAAAATAATAATAATAATAATAATAATAATAATAATAATAATAATAATAATAATAATAATAATAATAATAATCTGATAAGGAGAAGAGGAAGCAGATAAGGTGCTTTAACTACCCACAGAGAGGAGAGAATCGCTCGACTATCTACTAACCTTTTATCATAATCCTCAACCTCCATGCTTTCCTATCTAAGGTCATGTTCTCGGTGAGCTAAAGATAAACTATATCATGTCTAATCACGTCTCCCCAATTCTTCTCCGGTCTACCTCTACCACTGCCAACTTCCCGCACCTTCTCACTGGGTCATCTGTGCTTCTCTTCACATGCCTAAACCATCTCAGCCTCCGTTTCCCATCTTGTCCACCACGAGGGCCACTCCCACCTTGCCCGATATTTATTCTTTCCTAATCTTATTCTCCTAGTATGCCCATACATCCATTTAAATATCCTCATTTTCGCTACTTTCATCTTATGAACGTGTAAGTTCTTGACAGGATAACACTCTACCCCATATAACATAGTTGATCTGAACTTACCTTTAAGTCTTGGTGATACATTTTTATCACATAGGACCCCGGATGTGAGTCTTTATTTCATCCACTCCACTCCAATTCGATGTGTGACATCATCATGATCTCCCCATTTTCTTGAATTATTGACCCAAGATACTTGAAGCTTCCTCTCTCGAGGATGACTTGTGTATCAATTCTCACTGTACCACATTCGCCTCATGTGATGCATCACTAAACTTGCACTTATGTACTCTGTTTTAGTCATGCTCAACCTGAAACCTCTAGGCTCTAGGGTCAGTCTCCAAACCTCCAGTCTATTGTTAACTCCGTCGCGTGTCTTGTCAATTAATACTATGTCATCTGCAAATAACATACACCATGGTACCTCCCTTAAATATGTGGTGTCAATTCATCCATCACAAGGCAAATGAAAACGGGCTAAACACCGATCCCTAGTGAATAGACTATCCCTTTAACAAATAGAAGAAAAATCCTAAAATAAATCCTATTCCTGCGTATCTTCAAATAGTTGAAACAACATTAATATTTATGTTCATGACAATCATACATCCATTTGTAGGAAACAGATAGATTCTAGTTTACCTTCTTATCCAGAAGAACAAAGGACTAAACCCTAGCCACACCATTGAAATAAAGATATAAAAGAAACTCCAGCCCTGCACATTTCCCAAATGTGTAAAGAATGATATCTCTTAACATAATGATTCTCGGAGTTAAAGTTAGATACTCACCACATAGATGCATTAATTTATAAAGAAAATCTTCAGTTTCATGCACATTTGTGACATTTAACTCCTACATAAGTGAATCGTATGGAAGCACCTAGAAAGAATGCTTATTAGACACAACTTAGATAACACAGAGTATCAGCTAGAAGAAGTATTTTACAGGAACAACAATGTCAAATTATCGAAAGGTATCTGAGAGAGAGTAGGACAATACAAAAAAGTACTAAAAACGAAGATAAAAGATCAAAAACTTAACAATCATTTGAGGCAGTTATACCAGCAACAATGACATCTCTGAAATAATATGACATACAGAGATGACTGATCAAAAATATAAATATGATATGCACAGATTTTTGGCATTTGAGTGAAGTAGGCATAAACCAAGTATCAATGTTGCAATTCATTAATCATAGGTTGTCAACTCTACGATCTCAGCGACAATAAAATGTTAGAGTGGGTTGAGGTACTACTCATATCATACAACAAAGGGGAGGAGGAAGAAATGAAGTAATAGAGAAATTAGTCAAACTCAAAAAGGCTTAAGAAAACAATTTCAAGAGCATTCACTCAACTAGAGGTCAATTAACTGATGATAAATATATTGGAATCATCATCCAGGTTAGCTAAAAGCACCCAAAAATCAAGGGTTTTGACAAACAAGCACCAAAAAGCTTTGATGAGCCACTTGTCCCTTTTACTTATATTGTGACAAGTTGATATCAACGAATGAAGCAAAGGGATAAAAAGGATGGATCAACAGTTATCATAATCCCCCAAGAAAGCATTCTGATTTGGAGAAGTTGACTACACTTGAATGAAGTGTACCTTGCTTGTCTCAGCCAGGGTAAGCATGGAAGCTTCAGCTTGAGAACTTGTATAGGCACCAATTCAGGAAGACGGATAGCAATACCTATAAAACCAAACAAATTCACAAAAGATAAAGAGCCAAATGACAAATCTATAACACATGCAACAACAATTTAAGAGTATATAATTTCTACAAAATTGAATTGCTGAAACACAACCTGCAAGTCGACAGGGTTTATGGGTTTAAATTGAACAAATGGCATAGAAAAGGTAACTTGAGAGGAGCCTATAGGTTCAGTTACTTCAGTACATTAAGCAAATGAGACCACAAATTTTACTTTTTTTTAACTAACCGAAAACTCCTGTGGGCTAGCTGCTTCATGGTTCATAACTCGATGGACAATGGGTCTGCCCTATATCCTTTGCTAGTTAAATACCAGGCAGCAGGGTTCAAACTCTTCACGTGTACCAAACCCATGCATTATGTGTTGTGCTCTTACCATTGGACTGAAACACTAGGGGCACTAGACTGCAACTTTTTTAGAAGTCCAATACTTTATGTTGAATCAATGGATGAGCTTTTGAAGATCTGTAACGTCAATGCAAGTCAAAAACCATCTGAACTCAAACACTGATACAAACTTGTCTTCAATAAATTGAAAGGAACAGTAATATCAACAACTAGAAAACCATTTTTTCATATCCGTAATGATATTCTGGCATGCCTATATGCTCCCAGTGTCACATTACCCAATATTAAATTTTACGTTGTCAGCAAATAAAACAAGTTCTGCTAAAAAGAATAATGAGCGTCATGCTCTACAGGACATTATGAGTTCTAAAGATGGAATTTAGCAAACTGCAAAACAACTTTTTTTCTTGTTCTTTCTCTCTTTTTTATCCCGGGCTATGGGGGGATTTTTGCTGGAATCTTGGATAGAAGGACACTGCATAAGCTGTTTAGTCATCTCCTTAAAAGTCGTCACTAGAAATAGCCAATATTTCTAGTATCATAAGTATATCAATAGTTGTCAAGAGTTCTCTTGACTTTCCTTTCTATATAAAAGGATTCTCGGGTAGCCAAAAAGTTATTCCCTGTAGATGATTGTCTGTCACTTTGTGCAGAAGCTGACATGAAACTATAATGCTATATATGAGATCTTTATTTATGGAAGCTCATAAAATGTGCCTGAAAAGTTTAGCTCGCTTATCTGTAGTATGAAGGTTATTAGCTTGCTACTATAAGTGCTAAAGATAAAAGTCAGATTAATATTAGGCTCTACTGGCCATTCAAGCACAAAAAATCAAATTCTGAAGATCTAAATATCAGCATAGCTGAAATACTGAGACAAAGTGCCAGAGTGAATCGTAAAAAGTCAAACATAATGGATATCCTCTCCTAGTCCTGTCTTCTTTTTATCTCTCAAGATCTTTTTTTTTTGAAAATGGTAACTTTTCTATATTTCATATGTAGCAAAAACAATACTTAGGTAGTACTGAAACCATATATACAAGAGACTTTATCACTAACACTTTATACATTGAGTCTAAAATATCAATAATGATATTAGTATCATTTGTGTACATCAGATTACACCAAAAACGTAACAGCAAAATAAAGTTTAACTTGATCTTCTGCACTCCACTCTCCACATTCTCAAAATATCTGGAGTTTCTCTCTTTCCAAATTGTCCACCAAACATAAGCAGGTATAATTCTCCATCTAGTCCTGACCTTTGCATGTAGTCCTGCTTCCTCCCAACTTTTAAGAGTATCTATAACTTTCCCAAGCATGGTCCAGGAGATGACTTTGAGGTTAAGAATAATTCTCTATAGGTGAGAAATTGTCTTACAATGGAGGAAGAGATGATTAACTATTTCTGTTGTTTCCCCATACAAAAAATATTTAGAACATAAGATGAGGCCTCTTTTCATCAGATTATCTTGTGTAAGGACATCTTTCTTAGCCAATAGCCACACAAAGCAAGCAACTTTGTAAGGAATTTTCGTTTTCCAGATGTGTTTCCATGTCCAATCAGCTATCTGCTGGTTGCAATGATTCATCCTTTTGTAAGATACGTTGACCTTGAATATACCCTTACTGCTACCTTGCCACCTTAGAACATCAACATCTTCTTCTAATCCACTAAATTGTTCTAGTACACAGAAGAAATCCACCACTCTTTGTGCTTCCCGATCATTGATATGTCTTCTAAAAATGATGTTCCATCCTTGAGGTGTCCACATCTTTGCTATAGTCCTTTGCTGATGTAGAGCCAAATTGAAGACTTCTAAAAAAGCCACATCCAATCTGCCAACTCCATGCCAATTTTCCTTGCAAAAGCTAGTCTTATTTCCATCATATACTTTGATTTTGGAGGAATCCCTCAATTCACTCCACAGTGATCTAATGGATCTCCATAGACTAACCCCATATGGTGTGACCTCCTTAGTCATCCATTTGTATTTTTGTCCATATTTTGCTTTAATAATGTTTCCCAAAGGAGCTGATCTTCTTTGTTGAGCCTCCACAACTATTTCATTCTAAGAGTTTTGCTCTGAATCTTCAAGTTCCTGATCCCTAGGCCTCCAAATTTCTTGCCAACAGTAAGTGCTTTCCATTTCACTAAGTGGTAACCCTTCCTTTCTTTGTTCCCATTCCATAAAAGGTTCTTCCTGATGCTATCCAACCTATTAATGACCCCTATTGGAATGGAGAACAAGGACATCATATATGTTGGAAGTGCATCAAGAACTAAGTTAATAAGAGTCACTCTGCAACCTAAGGATAGATATTGGGTTTTTCACCTAGCCAGTTTCTGTTCACACTTCTCTAACACATTGTTCCATATCCCAATTGACTTAGATTTAGCTCCCAAAGGCATTCCAATATATATTGTTGGTAAACCCCCACTTCACCACCCAAAACAACAACTAACAGGTCTATATTTGTGACTTCATTTATAGGGTACAAAAGCCTCTTCTTACAGTTGATATGCAAGCTAGAGATTCCTTCAAAAAGAACCAGAATCACCCTGAGGTGTTTCAGTTGATCTTCTACATCATCACAGAATATGAGTGTATCATCAGCATATTGCAAATGAGTCACTTCGAAACTATCATTGCCCTTCCTAGCTACATCAAAACCTTTTATCCACCCATACGGATTGGCTGTTTTAATCATATTGTTGAGACCTTCCATAACAATCACAAACAAAAAAGGTGATAAAGTATCACCTTGCCTTAGTCCCCTTTCTGCTTTGAAGAATCCTGTTGGAGAGCCATTTACCAGAACTAAAAACCTGGTTGTTGACATGCAGAATTTAATCTAGTTTATCCATTTCTGGCAAAAAACCAATCTTTCTAGCATACACAGTAGGAAATTCCAGTTGACATGGTCATAAGCCTTTTTAATATCAAGTTTGCACAAGATACTAGGTTTCTTTTGTTTCAGCCTAGAATCCACTACTTAATTGGCTGCCATTACAGCATCTGTTATCTGTTTACCTTTGATAAAAGCAATTTGTTGATATTCCACCAATTGTGAAATTACCTTTTTGAATATCTCTATCAGAACTTTGAAAAACAGTTTGTAGATGCAACCTATCAAGCTGATAGGTCTGAAATCCTTTAAATACTTAGCACCTTCCTTCTTTGGAATGAGAGCAATCAGTGTTGCATTAAAGATTCTTTCAAAAACTTCTTTGTCATTAAAGTCTTGAAAAGCATTCATGATGTCAGATTTCACTATCTCCCAGCTTTTGATGAAGAATCCCATAATGAAACCATCTGGGCTAGGGGCTTTATCTATTGCACATAGCTTCAAGCACCTTAGCACTTCTTCCTCTTCAAAATTACCCTGTAGAGCTTCCTTATCCTCCACAGTTAAGACTGGGCAATTGTTATAGTAGCATGCATGTCTCCATTGAGTAGTTTCTTTGTACAGCTTCTGATAAAAATCAACAATTTCCTCTTCTATTCTAGTTGGCTCCTATGTTAATTCTCCTTGTACCATCAATTGATCAATATTATTGAATCTTTTATGTGCATTTGCTACTTTGTGAAAAAACTTAGTGTTTTTGACTCTTTCTTTCAGCCATAGTGCCCTTGATTTCTATCTCCATGAGATTTCCTCATTTTTTATCAATTGCTCATACTCCATGAAAAGAGTTGCCTTCTTGATAGTTTCTTCCTCTGTTAAAATTCTGTCTCCGAGCACCTCATCCAGTTCAGCCAATTGACTTAGTAGTTTCTTCCTTTGCTGTCCTAAATTCCCTGCCTCACTTCACTTCTGCTCCACTCTTGGAGTTTTGATTTGAGAGCTTTTAATTTACAGGCCAATATAAAGTCAGGCTTGCCTGAGAAATTGAAAGAGCTCCACCATTCTTTAACTCTGTCATTGAAGCCAGCTGTTCCTAGCCACCAATTCTCAAATTTAAAATAATTTTTGTTTTTATTCCAAATTCCCCTTAAAGAGTTACTGGAGTATGATAAGATGCTAATCTTTGTAGTGGAATCTGTTTTATATTACTAAAAACTATCATCCCACTCCTCAGAAATCAGAAACCTATCTATTCTGGAAGCCTTGTCTTGATTATCCCCTTTCAACCAAGTGAAGTTACCATCTTCTAATCGTAGATCAATTAGGCTCGTGTCTTCAATGAAATCAGAAAATTCCACCATACCCCTTGTTCTCCTCCTACAATTCCTTTTTTCTAAAATGAATCTGGTGACATTAAAATCTCCACAAATAGACCCATTGTGATATCTCCCTTTCTGTAACTTGAATGGGTTGTTGTTGCTGAATGAGAAGAGGTTCTACCTCTTCCACTTCCCAATTCTCTATTTCTCTGATTGTATTTTGTTGATCTAATTCCAAAGATAGTTCTTGAATTCCCCTAGTCTCATATTCTCTCTCCTCCTTATCTTCTGCTACCCTAATTAAGTCTAGAGAAGGTCCCCCAAGAAAAGCTTCTATTAAGGCCTTGTTTATCTATGCACTTTTTCCATTAAAATCTGCACTTTGGGATTTTGCATACGCCAACTTTTGGGTGGAGTCAGATTAGATCTTGTGAGTTGGAATCTTTCAATTAATTAAAAATGACTTGGGGTGTAAAGTCTGGCCCAAAGGAGTTATTAAAGTCAGCCACTTTATTGGGCTTAGCTTGCTGGCCCTTTTTATGACCTTCATTAAACCCTAACACATGCCTCTCACGTGGACCTTTTTAAAAAATATTTTCACCTATCATAGAAGTACTACCCACGTGCTTTCTTGCTGTAAAATCCCTATAAAGAGGGGATTTTTGTACTTCATTGCAGTTGGTAGCCCTATTTGCCCGATAGATAAAGGTAGTACCTGGTTCTTGCACAGAATCTTCTTCTCCGATGCCCCCCTCTGCTAATTCCGGCGAGATTTCATATCTTGACTTGCTTTCCAGTCATCTTGGAATGTGATGGGTGATTCCGTTACAAGAGATGGATATATCTCTTCGGGAGATTCCTCCCATTGTTCCTTACCAAAATTCTGGATCACTTCAAGTGATTTTTTTAGCTCTGTTTCTTCTTCAGTGGCCACTCATCCTCCATAGGATTCACTTAGTTTTTGAAAATTTCTCTGCGACCACAGATGAAGGGGAATCCCTACTGCTTTGATCCACGTTTCTTTGATTTCAATAGAATGCGGGGTACATCCTGCCATGGGATTCCACCATTCTAATTGCAACCTAAGCTTTTTCCATAACCACTGCCCTTGTAAGGTCCTTTCAGCCATGTATCTATTAGGGAATTGAAATAAGAACAAATCCCCATATATCTCATATATGTTTACCCCAATAACATTCTTCCAAGTTGAGGTTGACCACCTTCTAAGGTCAGCAAGTGTTGGTTTTTCCTTCGCCTCTTCTTCAAAGCACCCCACTAGTCATCTCTTCAAAGGCCCATTGTCTTGTACCTTGACAAATTCAAGAATGTCAATATTTCCACTGTTGCAAGTCATCACTGCTTCCTGAAGACTCCTATTATGCCATTTGCTATCTTGTACAACCTTCTTATAGGGATAATTTATCTCAGTTAATCTTGGGGGAGCTACCACTGTCACTTCTTTTGAGTCTTTAATGAAGTTGTTGATCTTAAATGCTATATCTCATTCCAGCCTGCATTAAAGACTGGTTCAGGAATAATAAGTATTGATCTTCCTGCACCATTTAATGACAGAATACTCATGTATCTCCCATACACATTAAATTTTTTGGTGCATAAGTACTCTGTGGCCTGCTATGATATTTTCCATCTCATGAACACTCTATTCTAGTCCTTTGAGGCCTCTTTAAGAACAAAACAAATAATCTTTCTGCTTATTGTCGATCTACTCATCATCTTTCGACTTCTCTCATCCCATTCGAACCACTCTCTGTTGCTAGCAAACCACCTGATAATATCAAAAGATTTGAACCCAGTATTGGAGTAAATCTTGTTCTCCCTCATACCACAAGCTTGGGAAAAGGTCAATGTAGAAAGCAACCACAAAATGTGATTCCTTGAATAAAGAAAATAGAGAGAAAGGGAGGGAAATAGATTGTATCAGGAAAAAATAGAGGATGGGGGAAGGGAAGGGTAGAGAAAAAGAGATATCTCCCGTGGAAGAAGGCCGAAGAAGGAGAGATTCTCCCTCCTAGAAGGGAGGAGAAAGAAAGGTCTCGAAAAGAGTGCCTGAGAGCATTTTTTATAAATAATGCTTTGGAGTATTCTCTTCTCCCTTAATTCTATGCTTTTCTCAAGTCTCCTCTAAAGATACCCACCATCTTCCCATGCAAGGCAAGTCGTTTGCTCCTAGGTTCATAGGCTATTAGCATGAGTATGCTAGCTAACTTATATTTTTACGAGTTATCACGAGTAAGTCGACATCATCCTTCAGAAGGAACAAATAAAAGCTAAGAATGTCTTTCTTATGATACGAGACGAGGAAGTGCAACTTGCCTCTACACCATAGGCTTTAAGAAAAGTCAAACCTTGTATCTTTTTCTATTAGAAGTTGGTTGATGTAAGTAAACCTTTTTGCTAATAAAGGTCAATGGCTATTGAATACTGGCATTACATGTCATCTAAAAATTCTCTACAATGCGAAGGGAAGGCAGCTTGCCTGTGGCTATGTGGACATATTGGGTTTTGACATACCAAACTCTGACATGTCAAAACCCATTATGTCCAGCTGTTTGTGGATAGAGGGCACTGAAAGTCGATATAAATCATTATCAGTCTCAATTCCATTTTTTAACACTTCATGATCTTCAAATTATTAACCAAAAAAGAACAAACCTACATCATTTATTAAAACGTGCCAAAAAAAGGATCTAATGTACTTACCGTAATATGAGGTGAAAATGAAGAATAATTATATGATCATATAATTGCATCAGAAATAACGTTATTGAAAAAACAAACATAAAAATCAGATCAAGCCAATGGAAGATCCTTTGAACACAACCCCTCCCCACAAAAAAAGGAAGCAGTAAATGCCTTGTTAAAAGCTCTACAACATATAGATGATCTGAGATGAAAGAGACAATCGAAATAATGTTAAAAACAAAACAATGCTTACCTTTGTGGACACTCCATATTCCATGAGCAAACAAGCGAAGCAAATCAAGGTACGGTGAATTGTGGATTCCTTCAAGTTGCATATAGGTCGAATATAAAAGTTAAATTATCCAAAAATATGAGAGGGGTCCTCAAACATAACAATGATTGCCTACATAATGTACCAATATTTAATTATATCCAGCACAAATGTAAATTTTGAGGAGGTAAGGTTACCTATGTCCCCTTCCTGTATGTACGCTTTTTTAGTCCCTTAATGAACAAGGTAGGGGTCAATGCCTAACCCCCATCACCATGGGAGGTGAAAGCCTGGTAAGTGGAGTTTAATTTCTTTTTAAAAAAACATAGTGTACCAATATTCTTATGAAGTGAACATAAATATGAAGAGAGATATAGTGACTCAAATTATGAATAAGAATCTCAATCTGTAAGAAGAACTAATTTGGAACAAGTGTTTCTATCATACTTTTCTTAATCTCATGACTTACATTTATATCCTTTTTTATTTTCCTTCTAACAAAATCTACTCCCACAATATGAATATATAATGCATGATTTCAGTTGAATCTTGTGATTTAATACTGTGCCATAATGAATTTTCAAGTCAAAACTATGGTGTGATAAAGTTTTCAGCGCAAACAATTTCAAGTCGTGTAACCTGACTTCCCAAAAATATTTTTTTTCCACTTCCAATTTTTCATCTAATCTCAGAAGGAACTGCAAAGAGAGGTTTCAAACACTTTTTTCTTTTGCAAGCTTGGTGAGAACACGAAATTGTTGCCTCTTCATCTGTTGCACCTACTATGCTTTCTCCTGAATAATGAACCGAAATACCAATGTCTTCCGAATTTCAGGCTATTTTAGTTCTCTTCTTCTATCGTGCATATCCTGATTTCTTTCTCTTCTTTTTTAAATTCCAAAGGTTATTTGGTACTTCCATGCATATACAATACTTAACATTTGCAGCTATATATTCTTCCAGCGATTAAAGACATGAAGGTAGACCATACAAGTTTGTTTCAAAATTGGTTTTGACAGGTGAAAATTGATACCGACATGTAAATCGCAAGTCCATTTGACAACCTTTTTGACAAGTATGCTTTATACAAAAACTACAAGAGTTCAAATTGGTAAGAAATCAAAAGGCTTGAGCAAACAAACTCTCTTATTGGTCCTCCCATAGTACTGTCATCAGCTACAACAACAACAACATCTCAATTCAAGCAAGTTGGGGTCAGCTATGTTGCTTCATTTAAGCTCGCCTAAGTCCAATATTATAAACGTTTAGCTTCTTTAACGCTAGAAGTTTTCCACACTTCCTACAGACATATAAGTTTCTGACAAGGCTAACAAATGATGGACCTAAACTACACCTAACTTTTTTTACAACAGAGAAATCTTCGAGTGTCAATAACGCATGGTTCGAAACTCGGTGTGTAATGGGTCCACTCTTTATTTTTTTTTCACTTAAATTTTAGGATTTTGTATGATGTGTGCCAAACTCATATCATGTGTTGTACTCTTACATAAGACCAAAGCGCTGGGGCACCTAAACTATAATTAGACTAAAACTTAATCTCCACTAATTAGTATCGCCACACAAATATAAAGCTGCAGGACTAGATAAAGAGATCATAGACTATACACGTAAGATTAATGCGACACGGAACCCACCAACATTATGAGAGAGAAAAAAGGTCAAAATGCTTCATCGGTAACCAAATAAATAACAGAAAAATAAGCATAAGAGTTTATGAACATCAATGTACCCAGGGATGTGGCCTAGAGGTTAATGAAGTGGCTTGAGAACCATGAGGTCTCAGGTTCAGATATAGAGCCAAAATACTAGGTGGTTTCTTCTTATTTATTCAAACATTTGGTGGATAAAGTTACCTTGTATATGTGAAAGTAGCAGCTACCCGTGAAATTAGTCGAGGCTGGTCCATACTCCACACAATTATTAAAAAAAGAGAGATTATGAAAACAATTAAGTAAAATTGAGGAATTGGAACCTGAAGAACATTGGGAAGGTAAAGAATCTGGTAGAAGGCGAAGAGAAAGGGATAAGAAGTAGCTTCCACAATAACATGCGACAGTGCAGAACTCTTGAGTGCTGATGATATATGCCTGTGTCACAAAGTGATCGATTTGCTCCGCTTGCTTTTGTTATATATCCACCAACTTTCACCATTTTAATTTCTCAGGAAAAAACACACAATTATAATATTCTAGATTACACCACTAAATTGGGTTCAAACTTCAATATCATTTACAAAGATAGAAATTTACTAGTATAAAATATACATATTTTATGTATATTATATATTAATTAAACAAAAAATATGTAACAAATGGCCAAACTTCTTACTGTATTAATATGAACTAGAACTAATTTACAGATTCGGATAATAATTCAACACTAACTACTGAAATACAATGAGAAATATAAGGATTAGAGATTAAGAAGGGGAGATGAGAAGCTTAGACTCAAAGCAAAGAGATGAGAGGAACAGACATTTTCGTCTTCAACAATAGGCATAATCCCTTCTCTCTAACTGGTAGTCCTTAACCAATTTCTAAATGGACCTGGATCCCAAATAAAACTCTCCAAACCTTTGTTTATTAAATATTTTGATTTGGCCATCAGTATTTGACAATGACCTGTTTGCCCATTAAATATTACTGTATTTAGTATTGAATTACCTGTGAAATATTGAAACAATTGTTCGATGAGTATACATTTCAAGCGAACAATGATTTCTACTAGCAACAAAAACAAATTTTAATCTTTTCTCTGGGTGAACTTCATTCATATACACATGCAACTAACTTCCATACTTCCTTTTTTAACTTGAAGTGCTTTAAATACCTCATTCTCGACTTCAACCGAATATTGTCCAAACTCATTTGCTAAGAAGAAGTGTATATTTTTCATACATGCATGCATGTTATTATCATAATAAGTGGAGTATACGAAATTTAATACTCCACACCTGATAACTTCATAAGCTTATGTTTCATACTGCTAGTAATCAAT